TGCTTGTTCTGTTAGAAGAGGGACTTTTCTGGGAAGAGTAGCAGTATAACCGAGGTTGGAAAGCTCACAGCGAACTGTTCTCTCACTAACTTTGAGAGCTTGGTATTTATCTTCTAAAATAGCTTTCATTTCAGTGGTCCTATAGTGGTTACTCTTGATGATCATTCCGAGGTGGCGCCGTTTTTCCAGTGATGATTTTTGTGGACGACCTGACCGGCGAATTTTCGGAATTTTTCCATTTTTTTTAATATAGTGATGCATGTACGTAATGGGATCCCAGTTCTAATCGAAATTTCTTTCGGAATACGAATACTATTTACGTGACTCAATGACAAATAAACATTATAAATGAACGTTTTATGGTATTACGCCTGAATAAGTAATTCGAATCTTCGCGCCATTACTTTCGCCGGGGACTGTAATAGAATGTGCGGTAAATCTTTAAATAACCAAAAATTATCGAAATATCACAAAAATTACAATTTTCGTAAAATTTAGCAAACTTGTTTGAATATGAAATCAATAATATATCGTTCGTCATTTTTTTATTTTGTTAGCGAGAGTTTTCAGGATCAGTATCGGTATGAAGATAAATTGGTTTAATTTATACTGTAAAATACATGTATTTGATATAGGTTACTTGCTAAATTTTCGTCACTATCGTTAGCACATTTTCATTAAAATTTCTTAAGAGAGATCATCGATTAAGACCTCAAATTCGACTGCTCTTGATAAATGAAATCTTTTCACAACTAACTTGAGGTGTATGTCCAATATTAAAATTAAAGTATAGCCACGTTATTAATGTTTATTCTGAATGAAAAGGTTTACCAAAGGATCAAAATATAGGATATGCTCTTATTCGCCATAGCCTGCTTCATTTCACAACAAGAATGCCATTAAACTCCAATATGTATTTATCTTTTTTGTTGCTGCATTATTACCTATTTCTGTAGTATGAATTCTGTTGAATCTGTAAAATTAATACAGTTTAAGATGATGTTCTTGCAATAGAATTTAATAAAACTGAGATATATCTTTATGAAATTATCTCCATTACAAGACAATAACTTTTTGCTCTCAAAGTCTAGGAATCTAATATTTGAATAAGATCCAAAGAGAAATATTTATATGATAAAAGTACTCAATCTAGAAATTCAAGCGATTGCATAACTAACTGCTTTCTTATTTTAAAACATATTTAATATTAGGCACTAGAGTTAAACACCTATACTATTTCGAATAGTTTTTCGGAACTATAATCAAACTATCGGTGTATAGTTTCGGCACCCAATTCTATATGAAAACTCACTAATAATTAAAATGTTAAATTTGGAAATTATCATACCGGTATTGACATAAATATTCAAATAAGAGAATTTGTTATTCCTTTTTCGGTCTTTGTTTGTTTTCCTTATTTATTCCCCAAAATTTCATCATTAAGGAAAATGTAATTAGTCTGCCTGTTCGATATTAAAAGACGTAATTATTTACTTTAAAGAAATATCGGCCGACAATATTCACATTATGTTTTACATTGGTTCAAAAATTAATACTAAGATCGCATATGAAATTGCGCCGATTTCACTGAAACGATTGATTATACGGCAATGATTATTGAACTCAACATAACATAACCGTCATTCAGTGAATTTAACACTATTTGAAATGTAAAATTCGATTGAATAACATATTCTGAACGTGTGTTATAAATTTATGATGTCTTTAATCTTCAGTTGCTATATTCGATTCTGAAAAATAATGGAATAATATCTGTGTATCACATTACACTGAAACTTTCATTTTTACGTAACATTGTTTTGATATGATGAGGTTACATTATCTAATACTGTACTTTTGTCAATATAACGATATTAAGTAACCCCTGTTCCAAATTGATGACGTAGGGGGGGGGGGTTCGCTTATTTTCAGGACTTTATGGTAATAATGACAACACCAAATTACTTGTAAAATAGCTTGCTAGAAGCTGAAAAGCCGGAGATTTACTATCAATAAACTTTAATGTGATATACGTTCTCCATTTTTTCAATTACAAGCCTACAACATTTTTGCATCGATCCCACCAAGTGCTTGTTGAAATTTTTTCTCATTCCTCCACAATAAATAGTTTTAGTTCGTTTCACAACTTTCCCCTTAACAATATCCATAAATTTTTGATGAGGTTTAATCAGGACTATTAGAAGATCAATCAATTATTTTTTTCAAAAATGCTTTTACTATAAAACTTATGTGCTTGGGATGTTTATCTGCCAAGCTCGTTTCTAATTTAGGGAAATATTGTTTTATAGTTTGAAAATTTTATAATAAATTGCTTTTGCATTTTGTATTTCTTTGTCTCATAATTGTTTGAATAACTTTGCATGTACATCTTGACGGACGCACATATTCATTTGATTATTTAAAAAACGCGGTAACAAAGAAAAATGTACTACGAAAACAAAAGATTTGCTTTGATAGTTAATAAATACATGGTACATTCTAGCTAACTTAAAACGGAAATTCTATTAGACTTAACGCATTGTATATACATGTACATGATATACAATCAAAAAAATCTGGTGAATCATTCCATTATTGTTTCCCCCTTCACCCACCCTTATTATGCATGTAATAACCTTTTAGCCCACTATTTCAAGACCAGAGAAAGAAGTCGCAGTATACGATATCTGAGATCAATTCAGGTCCTAAACTAACTTATCACTAAATCTCTGAGGTTTTTCATTGTACGAATGATTGCGTTTTGTATACATGAATGAAAATAATAAATATACAGAATATTTATAATGGGTCTCAGGCCATTCTCATTAACATGATTATTGATTAGTTTTCTAGTACATCTACGATGTGACCTTTGGTGTGGTATACAATGATTGGTTGTATTTTTCATTAAATGGAAATAAAAGGATCGAAATTTCGATATTATCTGAAGAAAATATATTTTAAGAAATTGTTTGTTAGTTATCCTATAATATCTTGAAACTGAAATTATTCTATTTATTATTTTAATTATGAACCACCCACAAAATGCTTTACAAACTCAACAACAATCAAATTTGCAACAGAATTTACTGCAATACCAGCAGCCCAACCGCCAGCCGAATTACCCATTACCACAAGTACTAGCACTAGTACATTATGATATTATAAATGGAAGCCAAATTATTTTTAATGAGCCATTTACTATCATATCAAATCAAAATGATAATAATCTTTCGGTTGTACTCTTAGAGTCATATCGTTCAATGAATTAGCATTCTTTTTATTCATTTTACGTTTATACTTTATTCAATACTAATTTGTATACTTGTTTGTATTTTATTTTTCATATTTGATTTTAGTTCGTATAAATTTTCTTTTAAGATTTTGACTCTCTATTCGATGTCATTCGTATTTATTTTTCATATGTGATCTATTTCGCATACAACTATTTTTTAACATTTTACGATATTACTCTATATTCTTGTTTACCGTATAACAAAACAGACCACGTTTCTTATCCTTATTCATATGACCATTTAACAAAATTTTTGAATTATTATAATAGAATATTTGTTAGTCAGTTAGATCTTTACTATCTGATTACAAAGTGCTCGGCTTTCTAAAAGAAACATTATGATAAGTTAAATCTTTTCTTAAAATTATATCATTTTGCTATAATATCTTAAATTGAAACTTTCAATTATTGGTTTATATAATTCTGAATCAACATTTAATAACTTTGTGATCTTTTAATGTTAACTACAAAATTTCGTTATCATTATGCTCTTATTATACATCATAATTTTCTCGAGCCTATTGATTGTTCTGCGAATCAATAGCTTTTAACAGAGCTTCAAAGAACTTATTTATATTAATTTCATCATTTTTATTTTGCTAATTATTCTATAGTTTTCAATTTTTTATCATTGAGATAAATAATCGTATACAATGTCGTACTACATTTAAACCTCGTTAAACCGAAATATTAATCATGACCTGATAGATGGATGTTTGTTCCAGGAACAGTCATCTCTCGCGATAAAAACTTGATAAACTGAATTTTTCAAATTTTTACTAATAATATCGATCACTTCGGTTTATGGAGATTGGACTGCAGCTTACAACTCCATTACATTACTTTTATTAGTAAAATAGAGTTAATAGTATGTTAAAATAGTTGTTTTTGATAGTGATTGATTTATTTTTACTAGTAAAATAAATTGGATAAAAATGTGTCAGATACAATAATATTCTTAATTAATAAGAGAAATTAAAGTATGGTGACTTTTATAAAGTAAAATTTGTTTATCACCATTTTATATAACAATAATAATAACAATTTTTCTTTTTATTTATTTATTTCAAATTAACTGCTTGAAAATTTAGCGAAGAAGCTAACGAATGCGTTTTCGATGAAATTGAAATTTTATATTATAAATGTTTGTCCCAATTTATCTGTTTAAAATAATGTGTATGATGGCTTTGCTGCAATTTTTTTAGTCCAGTTTTAAAACTGTTAATGCTAGATTTCTCATTTTTAACGTTAATACTATCTAGATGAATCAAATCTATCTCGATCTTGTTTTCGAGTTGAAAATTTCTATTGTAATTTCTCTATGTTGAAAATAATCTCTTTCAAGGCAAATATAAACAAATTATTAAAAGAAATTTATAAGAACCAGATTAAAATAAGGTGTGTGTTTTTGTTCTATTTATTATTATTCATATTGCATTTTGTGTATGGGCCGTTTTCAGTAACGAGAAGCGTAGAGCGAAATAAGACGTCATACAAAGATGTTATTCCCAATGTACCGTAAATTAATGCGTGCTTTGCAATAATGCAGTGTTATCAGCTATGATGCTTTTGCTTATGGTTGGCTTAGAGAAGTACTATTTAGTACGTAATTTTTTGGGGTCAGCAACTCATCATGTTTATAGTAAATTCTAATGATCACGCTATTAATTAATATCACAAGGGGTAAGTAACTGTCGTAGAAATAATGTTCGAAAATGTTTTTGCAAAAAAATTTCAAGATATATACAGTAAAAATCTTTTAGATACTTTTATGCAAACTCGTCTAAACGCAAACTATACAGAGGGTACATGCAAAGTAAAATTTGAAACATATTCATTGTCTATCCACAAAGCTGTGCACGTAGCCTAAACTCAACCTTAATTATTTTGCAGGGAACGTCAGAAAAGACCAAGCAAATTATTTAGATAGAACTGCCTGGCTTTTACTGAAAATTTCTCTTTTTTATTGTTACGTTTCTCAAATGGATGATTTAGTCAAATTTGACGGTTGCAAAATTACTTTCCGCATGCATGCAATGAAATAACGATAATTGCATGTACATGTAAATCTTTAACCAAAAATTTGTATGGCGCTCATTGGCGCAACGCCAAGTTGAATGATAGATTTTAACAATTTAGTACATATGCATGTCTATAATGAAATGAATTCCAGTCTAGTCATTGTTATAATGAACACATTCTATAGATACAATGAACCAATTCATATTGCTTTTTCATTTTCTCGCATGTTATTTGCTAAGGGATGCTAAAAAAATTTGATTACGTTTACATCATTTTTAGGGATTGATCCGAAAAATTTTCTTATCGTTATCATTCAATAATTCTATTTACGTCCCGGCCTGCATATCTAGATTTGCAAAATTCATATGATTTATAATGTGTTATTTGCACAATAATGCTGATGTGGTTTTAAAAAAATAAGGTTTAAAATTTGAGAAATCCGATAACTTTGGGGCGCGATATGCCGACGTTCAACGGTCCACATTAAACACAATAGTACCATTCAATTCGTTTAACAAAATAAAATGTTAATTAGAAAAAACATTTCCTATGAAGTTATTTTTCAATACAATCAAAATAAAAAAATTTTTGATTTTTTTTGCATGGTATAATATAACTGATTTGGACCAAAATGTTGAAGTTGTTTCTTAGAATTAGGGAATATTAACAACTTCAGTAAAAATTGAAAAATTGGCTCATTTGAAATGTTTATATATTCTGTGAATAATTTAGTCACATTTTTTGGACACTCCGGGTATTTTTTCATTTTGTGAAGATTCCAATAATCACCGAAATATGCTAGAATGTTTTAGTAATTACTAAGCATTTTAGCACATCTCGGAGATTATTAGATCCAAAGTGGCCAAGGAGTGCTTTTCATACTAATCTTAATGATATTTTATGAAAAATTTTATTATATGATTGCCATTTAAAAAAAATTTTGCAAATAACTTTTTTTACATAATTTAGTATAGCCAAAGTATAACTCTAATGAATTATTACATAACAATTTGTTTAAGCTTTAAAAAGCATTTATATATAAATTATTTTTTTACAAGCCCAGAATTTTAAATAATTTTGATTTAAAGATTTTAAACTATCTGAATTCTTAAAAAATATAACTCAAAGAACTATTTATATATCTAGACTTGTTAACTTTCTTTATATTTTAGATATCTGGAATGTTATTAATAATATAAAATTATATTATTATAAGTGAGTATGTTTATTTAATGATATAACTATATTTAATTCTATTTCTAATCAATATATATTATTTTAATTGGTATTAAATAAATTACAAGAATATCTAATATATTAAAATTATATAATCTCTTTCTTTATAATAGAATATATACTTTCATATCTTAATATTATATAAGTCTTAATTAACTTTTGGAAAGTAATAAAAATTAGTTGCTTGCTATATTATATTAATATACATAATAATTAGAGATATGTCTATGTGCATATATATATATTATACATATAGTCATATAGTTACTAACTAATATTATAAATGCCCATACATAATTATGTATATGGTTAAGTTCATAAATCATCACCAATTAAGATATTTGTACTCAGTAAATAATGATAAACTAATGCATTTATACAGAATATACATATAATAATAATGATAATGATAATATCAATATCTTTATTATTATATATATTTTATCATTATAATTTCTTGAAGTTTTATAAATAACTTAAACTTTCAGAATTACAAAAATTTAAATGAGATAATCTATTAACTTAATAATAGTAAATAAGCTCAAAATTAAGAATACTTATTAGAATACTATTTATTATTTCAAAATATTATTAAATATATATATTTTGATATTTTATTACTAATAATCTCATACAATTATAATCTAATTAATGTAATCTATCTAATTCAAAGTTTTATAACTATTTTTAATAACTTATAACTCTTCTTTATAGCTTATAACTATTTTTGATAGTTTGTAATTATATTAATAATTTATAATTATATTTACTACTTCAAAAATTTTTTCAAATTGATAAAATAGATATTATTATTATTATATATTATAATATAATAAATAATCTTTATAAATAAGATTATTTTTAGCTTTAATTTTTATTTTCTTTCAAACTTATATATAAGAAAATACTCATTTTACTAAATTATAATATAATATTTTATAAGTATAATTTCTATTTAGAAAACTATAAAATAAATAAAAAAGATTACTATTATAATTTATATATAAATAATAAGATATTAATCTTTTAAATTATATAGAAGAAAATTGTTTCTTATGATCTGTATAATAAATTATATGACTATTATTATATATATATAATAATCTAAGTAATTTAGTTATTTATAATAATATAGATTATTTAATTATAAGTAAAAATATATCTATATATATTACATAGATAGTTATTAATTAATATTATAAATACTTATATATAATTATGTATATGAAAATTATCACTAATTAAGATATGAATACTCAATAAATAATAATAAATTAATATATTTATACTGATACAAAATATATATATAATAATAATAATAAATATTTATATTTTATTGTTGAAGTTCTATATAGAAATATTTAATCAAATTGATTATATTGCTAGAGTTTGGCAATAGTATATAGAATGTAAATACTATAAAAATTTCAAATATTAATATAGTAATTCAGTAATTATATACAAGTTATATCTGTATATATATTTAAATATCTCAATTAAAGTTAAATAATTATTTTTTAATATAAGCTTTAAAATTTAGATATTATTAATATAAGTTTATTTAATATTAATTTATCTAGAAGTTAACTTATATAATATAAAGCAAAATCAGATCTTTTTAGTAATATATTAATATAGAAGTATGTTGATAATATTATTTTAATTACTTGATAAATTATGAATTTTATATAAGTAATATTTAAATTAATATAATTAGTATAATATATCATAATAATTTCAATATTATTTATAATTTTGAATATAACAGATCAGCTTTTGTAATATTTATAATAAAAAAGAAATCAGTTAAATAATAAGCATATTTTAAATTAGTTTATATTTATAGTAATTATAAATTACAAACTTCTTCAAATAATCAAAAAAAAAGTATTATAATAATGAAATAAGTGTTAATCAATATTATGCTGGTAATGAGAGTAATAAAAGCAAATATCAGAATAATAATAAAAGTGAATATTAGGATAGTAATGATAATGAACAATTTAATATATCAGATAATAGTAATAATATATTAAAAATATCAAGTGATAATAATTATTAATAAATATATAATAGTTATAGAAAATAAAATCATCATTAATTTCATATTGTGTATTTGATTAACTATATACAGTGGCAATCAAAAATAATGCAACACTTAAATTTTTTACTAATTATAATTAGTGAAAAATTTAAGTGTTGCATTATTTTTGATTGCCACTGTATATATAGATTATTATGTGTATTACATGTATATACTATGCGCATATGCGAACTATGCACATAGTGCGTATGGTACACATAGTGATGTACTATGTACGCATTTGCCCATCTCTAGTCACGAGTCATTTTCAAAATTCAGATGACCATAATGGCGTTCATTTCGGTAATTTGCAAAATAGGCAAATGACCTAATCATTTAACATCCCTGTTCAATCCTGCTCCCTGTGAGAAATTATATGTTATCAAAATTTATCAATTGCCCCCTTCCCTCACTGCATGTCATATTAATATTTCATAAATAATTACGAAACCAAATATTAGAATTATGTAGTTTGTTACATTGATTCAAGAATTTGTTTGCATATGGTTTACATTGATAATTTAGCTATTATGAACTTAAAGCATTCAAGAGATTAATGAAATTGCAAAAGGTTGTACCTCATATATTTAAGATGAAGTCGTAATCATTTTGTAATATATCACATGTACATGTAATTTCCTTGTGCAAAGAACATATTTAGAACAATGAACATGTATCTCTATACAGTACAGTATGCATATTACATGTATGATTGACTCCATAACCAAACAGGAAAAATACCTGTTTACAATGGTACTCATGATTAATCATTCCATTTTTGAATATTTAGCCCACTATTATAGGGATCAGGGAAAAGGTTTTTTGCTCGCGGTATATGATATCTGAGCTTGATTCAGGTTTCTAAACAAACCTTATCTTATCGATAAGAATAAATCTTTGGATTGCATTTGGTATACAATGAATGAAGCTAATAAATATACAAAAATTTTTACAATGGATCTCAGTCCGTTCTCACGAACATGAATATTGATTTAGTTTGCTAGTTTCATGCATGATATGATGTTTTGGCGAGCAGTGATTGTTTTTATTTCATTGAAGCAGACATAGAAGAATCAAAAATTCGATTTATAAATATATTTTAAAAATGTTGTTTATTAATTATTCTATAATATCTTCAAATTGAAAGAGTTATAATTAATTATATTATTATTTAAAATTATGATTTAATTACAAAATCTTTTACAAACTCAACAAATCTACAACAGAATTGATTACGAATATAGTAAATCAACTATTATCAGCAGCACCAGCACATTAAAATATTATAAATAAGACATATTATTCTTAATCATATTAAATTAAAATGATATATATTTCGATTGTACTCTTAGAAACATAGCATTGATAATGAATTAGTGCTCTTTTTATGATTTTTACTCTATAGTCGATACTCATTCAAACCTTGTATTTGTTTTTTCATGTTTGATGTTATTACGTATATATTATCAAAATTATATTTTATTTCCAATTCTTATAGTAAAAATCTAGGTTATTATTTATTTACACGATTTTCTCTATATATTGTATACACGTAAAACTCGGTATACGCACACCCGTTCCATTC